TATATATATATATATAAATCTCTAGAGAGAGAGATTTTAATCCTGATGCCGCAATATTTACACGACCCTGATGTTATAAGGAACATTTTTAAACCTGAATATTTCGAAAAAATATAGACTAATAATGTCATTTTAAACAAAATCCGTAGATTTAAGAGAAAAACTCATTTCAGATTTGAAATCCACATTTTCGAATTAGGCAAGTTCAAGTATTTCTATAAATGCAACAAAACATTTGTTCCCCAGTATAATTTGAAATTTCACCCTCGCTTCGGTGCGGTTAAAGTCGCAAGTACTGTATCATGCTTTCTGGGTGAAAGAAAAAATAATACTACTGCAACATTGTTCTCAAGCTCTCAACTTCGTAATATAATAAAAATGGAAAGAAGAAAAAGCTTTTTTCTTTCTCTATTCTATTTGTTTCAAAATTAATCAGAGCTTTAAAAATTTATATAAACAATTCATATTTTTCTTTTTCATTCTTTTACTAAATAAACTTTTCATATAAGTTGCTAAATTTTATTTAAAAATGCATATTTTTTCCAAATTGTATTTTTTTAATTTATTATATGAAAAAAACACTGAATTTCAAAATTTAATCGAAAAATCATCAGTAACAATAATGAAATAAATAACTCATATTAGACATATATTCTACTAGGATACACTATTTACTATAATGGTAGTAAAATCAAATGCCACTTTAATGTTTAGAAATCTGTAATTTCTTACAGATGATTTTTTTAAAATTATTTTTAAAAAAATTTCTTTAGTTCTATACGAAAAAGTGATAAATTATATACTGGGTGTAATTGATATGGCATTAGTTAATTTTTCAAATGTATGTTCATCTTATATAACGTTCATCTTAAAATATGCAAGAATTTCTTTTAGCTTTTCAAGGAAAACAGATTAAAAGTTCAGTTTATTGTCGTTATTCGAAATCGCCTGCTTTTCATCATTGCCCGGTATTCCTTACTCTGATGGTTTCTCAAGGTCTAATGACCGACATTCCGTATAATGATATGTTCTTCTTAATAAATATTAATAATAATTAAATAAGTAAATTAAAGTAAAATATGTCTTTCAAATGTTATTGAATGTAGTAAATGTTCTTTTTCCCAGATTTGAAATTTAGTTATTATTACTTTTTTTACTAAAGGAACGTGGAGAAAACAATGTGCTTCATGATTCTCATACTTATTTTTAACCCTTTCGCGCCGACTGTCACAAATACGTGCCAGCATAAAACCGTATCAATCAGGATAAGAAGATAAAACTGGTAATCAAAGAATTTCTTTGGCAGTTTATTTGTGGGCGGATAGTTATAATTGTTTGCTTTATTTAATTCACCATTACTTTGTTCAAAATAAAGCTATTTAGTTTTACTTTGAATTAACATTGATCATATATATGATTAAACTAACAATAATTAAAGTAAAAGTAAGTCTGTCAAATTAGAAACGACTACATTTAAGTTACCGTTTTTTATTTAATTACAACTTGATTCTGATTTTGTATGAATGCTTTTCTGAATCACCCGTCCCTAAGGGGTTAATCAAGCCCTATATAATATATGCTATGAGAGCATCGTGGCCTCTTTTTTCTAGCAGGTTCCGTAAACGGTTACTTAAAAGTCCTTCAATTAGATCATTATGCAAGGCAATCAAAGCAGTTTATACAACATCCATTTAGTTAAAAATCTGAAGAAAGTTTCTACTGAAGTTTCTACAGTGTAAATGGTTACTGATGTAGAAAACAATGGTCAATGCTGAGCTCGATTACGTTGCTTTATCGAATCTTTATTTGCGATTTTCCGTTGCAAGTTAAGAAAAGGCCATTGCATTATAGGATTTAAATAATCATCCACGACTGCATATAGTTCCGTTTTCTTTCATTGTGAAATTATAAAAATATGCTACAAAACAATTTAAAATCTTTCAAAAGTTAACCCCTTGGGAACGGGTGATTCATAAAAGCATTCGTACAAAATCAGAATCAGGATGTAAATAAATAAAAAACGGTAGCTTAAATGTAGGCGTTGCTAATTTGACAGACTTACTTTGCTTTTACGTTTAATTATTGTTAGTTTAATCACAGATTCTGAGACAGTCGGCGCGAAAGGAAACAGAACTTTAACTTCAGTCAAACAGAAATTTAACTCATGCTATCTTTTACTAGNTGAAACACTAAATTCGATTTGTCTGAATTGTAACTAATTTTTTTTTAGCTACCACTTGGGAAAATTATCCTCGGAAAGATAAAAAGTTGGCAGATCTGGATATGCATTTTATATTTGTAAATAGTGTAAATATTCTTTCTTTATCTTTATCTTCAATTTGTTCCCTTTATTATGTATCAACTTGCGACTTATTTTTATGTATGACTCAGACTTGATTTTATCAATTATTGTTCATTCTGAGATTTAACTTAATGTTAACGCAGCACCTCCCTTCCCTTCCACCACATATTATTCAATTTAGATGAAAGAGCAGATATCCATACATGGATAGGTACTCTGAAAAAATTGATTAGTTAGTTAGTTAGTATTAATAACAAATTTAACATTCTTAAAACCAAGCAAATGTTGTCAACTATTTGCAAAATTTACATTGTAGTTATTTACCGTTTTTTAAATTACTTTGGCGTGTCCGCAGCAGTTGGCATCTCTGTAATAATGTAACGAATACTAAAATAACGTTAACTTGCGAACTTTTTTGCTCCAATATTGCTTGATTGGTCAGCTCTGATAGTATAGGAGCCTTATCTCTTACGATACATATCACAGAACTATTAAAAGAAAGTTATAGTTTCGACTATGTAGCAACTATTTCAATTAATAAGGAGAAAATTCGTTCTTGAAAAAGAAATAAGCATATGACGCTTCAAGAGCATTGGATTTGATTTGACAACTGAAAATGGCCCCTTACCCTGACATGCCCTTAACAAGCAAATGTGAGATAGTGAAGTTTTACTTTTGTTTCACAGTATAAGAAAATCGTTTGCAGGGAACAATATTTATTATTCTTTCATCAGTTTCTTTAAATGCAATTAGAAGACGTATATTTGTTATCATTTTTTATTAATTCTTATTACTTATCCATTTTTATTATTTCTTATTTGATTATTCAATAAGTTTTGTTTTCCTCATTTGACACGATTTAAGAAAGCAAGCAGAGATACAAACAGGTTCTCTCCCTAAGGATAATGGGTTTTTCGTAATTTGCAACAGAGTATATTTCTTGTTTTCCAAACTACTTTTTTTTATTCACAGAATTCATTTATTGGATTAAGTGGATCATTGTATACGTCACAGTCCGGATACACACTGCAAAGCATCGTCGAAGATTTGATTTGTACGATCCCACAAGCGATGATCCTGAAAAACTGGGTATTCTCGTTCCCCAAGTTGAAACTGATTTAGAATCACCTCAGTCGGAAAAACATTTACAAGTGGTAAGAAGTATTTTATATTCCTAAAAGAACAAGTTTTGGTATGCAAGGGATAAATAAATTAAAAATGTAAAAAGAGGGTGTTTAATAAAAAGCGCAAATCGATTAAAAAACAATTTAAAATTAGAAACGTTTTGTTGTATTTTTTTAGTTTAGTATTCAACGTGAATGAAATGAATGCTGTTGCATTAAATATAAATAATTTTCACATGAAGCCAAGGTGATAGTTACGGTTCTAAAATTAAATAGATTAAATAAATAAAAATGAAAAAGAGTTTTTACCACTTTTTCTATTTTTGTCAAATTCTAACATTAATCTAATTTCATCTGCATTAAATTTGGCAATTAGGCCAATTCTAACTTATGCCTGCCCCGCCATTAACACTCTAAGTGATCACTTAAAAAATAAACTCTCTATGGCAGAAGGGAAGATTATAAGAAGACTCGTCGGCGCTCCTAAATGCATTAGCAATAATAGTATAAAAAGGGATCTTAAAATTGATGACATCAACGTCTATATAAAAAATTTAAACCAAAATTTCTACGATGAAGCAAAAACCTGTACCACCAGCAATTTTAACTCACTCCTAGATATTGAATTAATTGACGACAACACTAAATTTAGCCCAATCACTGCCTTTTTCCTTAGGGATATGACGTAGTACTAAAACACGGAATACACTCTCGATTTTTGGTGCAAAGCACCACCTCTTCCCCCATCTCCATTCCACCTCACTACTCCTCATCATCGAATTACTACTACAGATGAATCGGTTAATGCCGCTTCGCGGCAGCGCACCGAGATTTATATGATTTCTACCATTCTACCATTCTGCATTAAATTTGAATTGACAGCCCAGAGTGAGTCAATGTCTTCTATTGTTTTAAAATTGTGTGGCAGTTTCCACCAACTCAGTCCATCTCAATATCAGTCTACCTGTTATTCTGCTTGTTAGTGGTTTATGAACGAGAATTTTCTTTAAAAGGTAGAATAAACATTTGAGCCGGCCAGTTCATCCGGTTTATTTTTGTGAACTTTACAAAATCTGGCTGTCAAAAGATTTTCTGCAACTGAACGTTATACCGCCTTCTACAAACATTGTTAATTTCTATCCCACGAAACACTTCTCTCGAAAATGTCTGTTTTATTTTCTCAATCTTTGGTCAAATTCCAAGTCTGTGAGCCACAGATAAGTATAAATTTATTTAGCATTTTATTTATTAACAATATTGTATTTCTTGATAATAGTGAAAATTTCAAAAATCATTTTAATCTATAAGAAATCTATGTTTGCATACATTAAACGACTATGAATTATAATCGACCCTTATGTAGTTACAATGTACCAAAAAATGAGATGCTGGCAAGAAATGCAGTGCTGTAAGTACAGAGCTTTTACAAAAATTTGAAAGAGAAATTAAAAACTAAAACTTAAACTTTTTGAAAGATAACAAAAACTAAAGATTTCAGAGTTTTTGGTAATTTTGATAAAATTTTAAAAGCCTTAATACGAAAAATTAAATTAATGGAACAATTAAATGAATGAAAAATAACACATTAAAACAATAACTTAGTTACCAGAGTAAATTTTTACAAAAATCTAAGAAAGTTGGCAACCCTTAAAATGCAAAGCTGTTAGCACTACGTTTTTTTAAAAATATTGAATAGAATTGAAGCCAACTTTAGATTAAAGCTTACAGGACTTTTGGTAATTTTGCCTGCATTTTAAAGTTCTCAATATAAAAATTAAATTAATTCAACAATTAAATTAGTAAAAAAGTAGAATTCATATATTTACTTGCCACCAGAGTAAATTTTTACAAAGAGCTTAGAAAGGCAGCTCTTAAAAATAAAAAGCTGTAAGTACGGCTATGAAATATTTTTCTAAATTAATTCCTTTCCTAAATTAATTCTCTCTTCAATTAATTCCTTTTTTAATTAATGGCTAGAAAACCTTCAGACTTTTTGTAATATGTTAATCTTTTGTCATAGTTTAAAAGCTTCCCTATCAGAAAGCTTTAATTAAAGTTTCGTTTTATTTAACCTTTTGAATCACTTACGCGGAGTGGTGTGTAAAATACTTTAGAGTCATACATTAAAATATAAACTTAGCTAGAACAAGAAATTTTTCTTCAAAATCGTAGATAGTTGGCAGGCTTAAAAATATAGTTTTTATTTTAATTTTAAGTTTCATAGGTATATTTGGAACTCAAATAAATTGTGCATACATGTGAATAAACTTGAGTCAAGAAAATTAATCAAGAAAAGAGTCAAGTCTACTAATAACAAAATTTTGCAGACTAAAGCTAATGGATTAAAATAAATAAATGAATAAACAAATAAATACGTAAAAACTTAGACATAAATGAAATATTACTTTAAAATTATAATTAGTATTCTTTTCAGATTATGCACTGACAGAATCTCCTTAGCTTGAAAATTTTTCAACTAAAATGTAGGGGGGTTTGACAGAAAGCATATTTATTATCAAGGACTATCTTTGCGTTCTCACGTTCACTATTTCTCAAAAGTTATATTGCGTCAAATGTAGACTGACCAGCGTCCAATAAATACTAAAAAAGCAAACGGATTTCCTATATAATTATTTCTGTTAAATTTCTGTTCTCAGAATAGATATATGGTTCTCTAGATATGGTGAAATAAGCGAAAAGTAAAGTTAACATTAAAGGGTTCAAACTTTAGATGGCTCTTCTGGTCAAAATATGAAGACCGTATTTCCTAGATTGCGGCTACCTCTTTTATTCTTAGGGTGAAAAATCCGAATCCGTCGAAAAAAAAGGTATGTTTATTCAGAGAAAGTACGTTTTTGAATCTCATTTAATAACTTATGATATCGTCTGCACTTATTAATTACCATATTTAAAGTTAGGCCCTTGAAGCATTGAGTTTTTATAGGTGAGAGTCTGATCTTTATATTATAAGTTATTCCGGGTATTCCATTTTTCAATTTGGCAATGTGCTTTCGTATCCTTAATAGTGATTTTTAAAAGACGTTTTTTCCAACCTTCCATAAAATTTAAATTTGTTGTCTCCATTGTAAGTAATTTTTATTACCTAGTTTCAAAATCCAGTTTTTGTGAAGGATTTCAGAACTAAAAATACTGTCTGCATTAATAAACATCATTATTGTTACCCATCGGAACCATTAAGATTGAACACGTAAAGATCCCCTAGAATGTAAAGATCCGATGATTAGATGAAAGGTTATTTATCATGGTCCGTTTTTTTTACTTGTATTTGTTTCCTTTATTTGTAAAATACAGAATTTATCTATTAGTATATAGATATTTTCCAAAAATAGCTTCATAATTTTTAAGAGTATTTGTTGTTTTTATGTTAATTGTTTTTAATAATTTTTCTTAAAATTAAGGAATTTTGTTCTTAAATGAATCGAAAAGAAATTACCACAAAGAGTGTCTTTCTGCGCAGCTTGAAATACTGCGACACTTTAAAAGTAGATTTATTTTTAGTCCGCAGATGAAGTACTGTTCTACGGAATAAATTCAAAAGCGGAATGTGTTCTGGTCCGCATCACAAGAGGATGCAATCAAGAAGCCGAAGCTTGGATATATTTGAAATTGGCTGATGGCACGACTTATCATTTGGTTGAGCACGTCAATTACCAACAACCATTTGAGGAGAAATGCCTGGTATTTTCTTGCGGGAACTTACAAATGCATTATTTGTCACCGATGAGAAGATGGAGAATACAATACTGTGGCTCTCTAATGTAAGTATTACTATTACTAACATATAGTTTAAAAAAAAGACGTATGAACACGGAAAAACCATTTGTAAAGAATCAAAATCTCATGAATCCCCCAAACAACTGATATGCAAAAGTAAAAGATCTCTTTCTCTTTATTTAACTAAAACTGGGTGCCTGGGCCGCGCAGCGGCCCCTAACCCATTCATCATGAAGTATTTACAAGTTGAATTAAAAAACATTTTGAATTATGCAGCATTTAGGTAGCATTACAGAAGATCAAGCATATTTGCTTGATAAATTAAACATGATTTGATATTTAATATAAGTCATGATTTATGCAATAATCAGAAATTTTCGTGAATATAAAAAGCACAATTGATATTTAAGCATTGATTGGTATTAAATTTGATGCAATCATAGGTTGTGATTAAAATATGAATTAAATTAATGTGTAAACAATTACAATTGATATTTTAGCATTGAATGGAATTTAAATTTGATGCATTCATAAGTTGTGATAAATTATGAGTAAAATTAGAATATATGCAAATGCGATTGACAATTTAGCATTGAATAAAGTTAGAATTGTGTAATTTTAAGTTGTAAAACAAATATAACATGATATATGATAAATTTACAGAAGTTTTGTTTAATATTGGTGTCGCCATCTATCGGACACAGTTTGCAATTTAATTGAGCTGTTTTACTTTTTTCATTGAAGAAGAGTTTGATAATCTACATATTAC